GCTAAATCCCATAAAAGGGAGGAAAAAATGTTGAATTTTAAGAAAAACGTTTTTTTGAAATTTTTCGAATTTTTGATAATTTTAGATTTTTTTACCAAAGAGTCGAGAGTATTAAATAAGTAAAGTATTTTCCAAAAGCACAAAAATAATGAAGCTAAATCCCATAAAAGAGAAGAAAAAATGTTGAATTTTAAGAAATTCGGATTTTTGAATTTTTGATAATTTTCGATAATTTTAGATTTTTTACCAAAGAGTCGAGACAATTTAATAAGTAAAGTATTTTCCAAAAGCACAAAAATAATGAAGCTAAATCCCATAAAAGGGAGGAAAAAATGTTGAATTTTAAGAAAATCGGATTTTTGAATTTTTTCGAATTTTTAATAATTTTAGATTTTTTACCAAAGAATTGAGACATTTTAATAAGTAAAGTATTTTCCAAAAGCACAAAAATAATGAAGCTAAATCCCATAAAAGGGAGGAAAAAATGTTGAATTTTAAGAAAAACGGATTTTTGAAATTTTTCGAATTTTTGGTAATGTTAGATTTTTTACCAAAGAGTCGAGACAATTTAATAAGTTAAGTATTTTCCACATTAAAAAGTTTGACATTAAAAAATATATATAAAAAGCCAATACTTAACCCACAAAATTTAATTTTCAAAACAAACAAATGAATGCAGATAATTTGCTAACGGAAAGGAAACTTACGATTATTATAATGTATTATACTGAAATCATTTGCTGAAATTCAATTATTTTCAATACATTTTAAATCAAATTTCTCGAATAAATTCAATTATTTTAAATATTTCAATAGAATACTTCGCAGAAATTCAATTCTTTTAAAAATTGTTAATATTCATCGAAATACTTAAATTATTTTCAAAAATTAAAATAAAATTTTTTGTAAAAATTTCTTGAATGCAATCAATTATTTTTTTAAATTTTAATAAAAATCTTAGCAAAAAATTAAATTTTTAAAAAATTTTAAACAAATTATTTGCAAAATTCATTTTTTTTTCATTTTCATAAAATCTTTGAAACAATTTAATTATTTTCAAACTGTTTAATTCAATTATTTAAAAAAATTCAATTAATTTCAATACAATATTAATTAAATTCTTGGGAATATGTATATATGTAGTAAAATTGTTTTCAAAAAGTTTAACAAAATTCTTTGTAGCAATTCAATTACATTTTTAAATAATAAAATTTCTTGAAAGAATTACATTATTTAAATCAATTTAAATTTTAAATACAATTCTTTGAAACACTCCTATTATTTAAAAAAACGTTAACAAAATTCTTTATAGAAATTCAATGACTTTCAAAAATGATATCATAACATTCTTTCATTCTTTGCAATGATTTCAATTATTTTCAAAATTAATAAAATTCTTTCCAGAAATATTCAATTATTTTCAATTCATTTTAAATTAAATTTCATGAAAGAAATCAATTATTTTCAATTTCAAGGATTCAATTATTTTCATTCCAATTTAAATAAAATTTCTTGAATAAAATCAATTAAATTTTTTTCAAATTTTAATAAAATTTTTCGTATTAATTCAATTATTTTAATAAAAAATAAAATTCTTAGCAACTATTCAATTATTTTCATAAATAATAAAATTCATCGCAAGATTTCAATTATTTTTAATACAATTTTACAGGAATTGCTCGAGAAATGTTATTATTCTTAAAAATTTAATTTCAATTCCTCGAAGAAAACAATTGTTTAAAAAAATGTTTTTTTTATTTGTCCCAGAATTTTTCACGAAACAATTATCAATAAATATTATTATTGATTTTTTTAAATTCTTTGAAAGTATTCAATTATTTACAAAAATATTAGAATTTTTCACAGGATTTCAATTATTATTATTATTATTTAAAATAACTATTTTTTTACTACTTTTTTTTTAGTTTGAAAGTTACTTTTTGCTACTTTTTTAAAATTAATTATCGAGTGCGAAGTCAGAAAAACAGAAAAGAAATCTAATAATCCAATTCTCAGCACTCAACTCTTTATTGATTCTAATAATTTCGCCTCATCTGTCTGATTATTTAAATAAATAACAAGAATCAATTTTATATCACAAAAAAAAATATTTTTCCCGAAAAGATCATTATAGTGATTTCAAAATATTGTTCCAAGGAAAATATTTGATCCAAAGAGTTGAACAGTTTTTTTCTGTATAATGAATTTCCATCATATGCAAATCAGTCCTTGTATTAATTGAATTCGATTATAAAATGAGAGAAGAAAAATATTCCAGATGACAGGAAGATATGTCGAAGTTGAAAAGAAATCGGATATAATGATTTGAAGTCTGAGTGACTAGCGAACGTCAAAGAAAATTATAGGCTATAGGCCTTATATTATAAATGTATACGCTACTATATAGACGAATATTAAAGATATACATTAATGAAAACAATAAAACTGTCTATTCGTAAGACGGTGTTAGACATAACGCGCGTCTATCAAAAAAAAAGAAAAATATAATTCTTTTTTTTTTCTTTTCCCAAAAGATCGAAGCACACTTGAAAACATAACTATCTGTTTCATCGATAGTATTTTTGCCATTTTGACTAGTTATTAAAAGAAGACGAGGGTCCATATAGTGATGTGTAATTTAAAGATAACCAAATCATTTTCACGGTCTTTTCAAAGGCAAAAAAAATTTGTTTCATCGGAGGAACGAATGACGATGATGATAATGATGATAATGATGAGGATGATGATGATCATGCTTGTAAAGAAGTAGTAGCTAAAGAGGGATTTTATTATCCGGCAGAATTAATTGTCGTCGTTTCACCTTTTTACGCGCGTGGAAAGCGAGAAAGGAAATCTTTATAATCTCTTTAGCCTACTTGAAGCATCATTCTCATCGCGGTTTATTTTTCTCTTTTTTCTCTTCTTTCCTCTATATTTGAAAGCCTCTGTGTTTACAACTATCAGGCCTTGGATTGACTTTCAGGCGCAAAAATTTCCAAAAAATCATTAGTTAATTCTTATTAATTATTACTAATTATTACTAACTATTACTAACTATTACTAACTATTAAATAAATCAAATAAATTTTATTAATAAATTCCTTAGAATCCGTATTTTATTTTAAAAAAAAACGGCGCATTTATTTAAAATAGCCGAAAAGTTATCCAAGGCCTCAACTTTGTATTTTAATTTCAAGTAAAGTTTCAAACATTCAAATTATTTGTTGTTTTGATTCTTTTTATATTTTTTATAAGAACCGATAATTATTGGAATTTAAAAACTTAATTTTCAACATGAAGAAAAATTATTAAATTTCTTTCATTTTTCATTTTATTTTAATAATTTTTGAAAATATTAAGGATTTAAATGATCCACAACTGTTGAACGTTCAAATGAATGAAATATTTTCATAATTTACTGATTGCAATAAAAATTAAAAACATAAATTTTACACTTAGAAACTTTATAATTAACTTTCATGATATATGAAATGCGTCAAAAATTTAATTTTGTTTTTCCCTAATTTCCAGACAAAATTTTTACTTCTTCCTGAGGCTAAAAAATATTCTGATTCATTCTAAAAATAATTATAGATACTCAAAAAAATGTACCTACGAATTTATTTAATTGTAAAATTATTCGAAAACTGATTAATAACTTCTTTTTGAAATAAATATTCAATCATTATTATTTTTCCATAAGCATTAATATTTTCAAAAAATATCAAATTATTCTCTTCAATTCAATTATTATTTTCTACAATTTTTAACTATAAAATTCTTCTTGAAATTTTCAAAGATATTAATTCGAAATCTTTTTAAAATTAAATTATTTCAAAAATTCACGCTATAATGCTTATAATATTTAATTATTATATCAAAAATTTTAACTAAAATTCATTTTTAAAGCAATTTTTATTAAAAAATTCTACGAGAATTCAAGTATTTAAATTTTAAATACAAGAATAATTTATTGAATAATTGAATGTTTCTTAAAATTTAACTATCATAAAGAATTTTATCAACAAATTTTAAAAAAAATTGAGCTAAATACTAAGAATTTCATTAAAATTTTTGAAAATAATTAAATTATTTCAAGAAATGAAATTCAAAATATATTGAAAATAATTGAATTCCCGCAAAGAATTCTAAAAAAATTCTTTTAAGTATTAATTGATTGTTTTCAAAAATTTTTTATGAAAATCATGTTTTAAATCATTGAATTTCTGTAAAAATTTTATTATTTTTGAAAATAGTTGACATTTTGCCAAAAATGTTATTAAAATTTTTAAAAATAATTGAATTTTGGAGAAAAATTTTGTTATTTATAAAAATAATTGAAATTTTAAAGAGAATTAAAAAAAATTTTTTGAACATAATTGAATTTCTGCAATCATTCGTAACTTCTTCAAAATTCAAATTTTTAAAATGTTTTTAACTAAAATTCTTTTATAAATCCATGATTTTTAATAATTAATTAAAAATATATATAAAAAAATGTAACTGATTTCAGAAAAATTTGAATTATTAAAATTTTTCAAAAATCTAAGTTCTTTAAAATTTTTAATTAAATTCATTAAAAATTTAAATTTTATAAATCTTTAAACGCAACTCTTTTAAAATTCAATTAATTTTGAAATATTTAAGTTAAATTATTCATTAAATAATTTCTAGGTAATAATTTTATGATAGTTATTAAAGAATTAAGTTATTTAAAAAGAAATTATTGTCAGAAATAGAAAACATTGAAGGTTTTGTTTTAGAATTCGTGGTAATTTTATAATTTATGAGACAAACAAAAAAGACACCAAAATTCAGAATTTTTTTTATGAATTCTAAAAATTTAATTTTTTCCAGTACTTTTAATATAAATCCCCAACTTTTCTCTGACCAATTCTACTTTCCCTTACTCTAAAATACTTAAACAGGAAAAATTTTTTCTCCGCATTATAACGTTCAAAATAGAAAAAAAAATCAATTTCATTAAAAAAAACACTCACCATTTCGGAAAATCTGTTCAACACGTGCATCATTTCTGAAACAAATAGAAAAAATGATTTATTTCAAAATAAATTCACCATTGTAATAGTACTAAAAGTTTTAGTTTTTAGACCAAAAACTTGAGAATAAAAAACAAAAGATTTTTCTAAAAAGAAATCCTTTTTAAAACTAAAATTAATTTCCGTAATCTGTCAAAACATAAATAGAATCGACTAAACTTTTGTTTTCCATTCCTTTTTTTCCATTAAATGATTTTTTATTACCAAAAGTCCGATTTTCCCCTTTTTTTCTATTAAAAAACAAAAAAAAAAAAAAATACTGCACCAAGAAGAATTGATTGCTTTCATCTATTTTAACTCTAGTTCGAAAAATGGGAATCGCGGCTGCATGGAACTAATAATTAGGACTGATGGACCCTCGAGACGAACAACTATTTTACTATAGTTAACAAAAAATATAAAAATACACTGCCATATACTCTATATTATCAGTCATCAAAAGGAATCTTTTTTTGGGGGTTCATCGAGAGTTTGCAAAGCCTATATCTCTCTTCCATAAGTAATATACATTTTTAGAAACAACAGTTCTTTCAGGGCGGTCAGTCTCTCGATTTAGGGTCTCTCGCACTCTATATACTAAAAAACAAGGTGGTCCCGCGATGTGGATACGCCCTGGGCGTGAGTTGAGTAATTAAATATAAAGTGAACTCATTTGTGGATCTCAGTGGCAAATAACATGTTACGCGGCAACAAGCGATAATTTATGAGAGCATATATAAAAAGTTTAAAAAGAATACAAGTCTCAAGCTGCGAGCAATGAATATGTATATACAGTTGAATTAATAAAGATGTTGCTCTCCTTTCTAACGATCGGAGATTCCAAAACACATAGTATATGCATATTCTGCGAGGAGAGTTGTCTTAACTAACCATTTTTTATGGTTTTTTTGGTCTCTGGTTTTTTTTCTCAATTTTTGACATAGGTGGTTATTATATCTCAATTTACGTCTTTGGAAAATTCAAATAATTTTCAGAGATTTCGAATGTAGATTAGAAAGATATTAATTGTTCTTTCTTGCCGAGATTTTGTTATATAATCTACCAGCAAGATTTTTTTTAGGCAAATATGCATGTAGAGAGAAAAAAGAATTTGTTAAAACAGAATTAACAAATTTTTCTTTTGTCTTTGTTTTCAAAATTTTTTGTTTTTTTAATTTGTACCCATTTCTCTAAATTTGAATCAGTTATAAATGATTGATTTAGAAGCAAAAAGTCAGTCACTAATTCAAATAGTAATATTTCTACTGACAATTAGTTATAAAAATAACTGATTGTCATTTAAAAATAACTTGTGTTTCAGTAAATTTTTTTAACTGATTCAATTAGTCAAGTTTAACTAATTTTTCAATTATTTTTTTTTAATGAACATCAGTTATTTTCAACTGATACAGAAGAAAAAAGTCAATCACTGATTGACAGTTAAAACAATGATTTTTAACTGATTTTAAATTTAGAGAGTATATTAATAATCGTTAAATCCGATAATCTGTTCGTAGTTTAGAATAGTTGTTCTTGTTTGCTCTTTTGTTTTCTAAAATTTTTTGATAACTATTCATTATAAATAATAATTGAATTCCTGAAAAGAATTTTATTATTAATAAAAATATTAGACTTCTTTTTAAGAGGAAAAAAGAGTTTTTGAAAATATCATCATTGAAGTGAATTTCTGCTAAGAATTATATTAAAATTTGAAAAAATAATTGAATTTATTCAAGAAATTTCATTCAAATAAGAATGACAATAATTAAATTCTTGCAATTAAAAATAATTGATTTCGTTTACGAAATTTTATTTAAAATGAATTAAAAATAATAAAAAATTTCTAGAAAGAATTTTATTAATTATGAAAATAATTCAATCCTTTGAAGGAATTAAATTATTTATGAAAATAATTGAAATTATTGCAAATCGTGAAAGAATTTTATGATATCATTTTTTAAAATAATTGAATTTCTGCAAAGAATTTTATTAAAATTTGAAAAAATTATTTATTTTATACAAATTGGAGTGACAATAATTACATTCTTGCAATTAAAAATAATTGATTTCTTTCAAGAAATATTTTATTTAAAATGAATTAAAAATAATTGAATATTTCTAGAATAAATTTTACTAATTATGAAAATAATTCAATTTTTTGAAGGAATTGAATTATTTATGAAAATTATTGAAATTATTGCAAAGAATGAAAGAATATTATGATATAATTTTTAAAAGTAATTGAATTTCTACAAAGAACTTTGTTAAAATTTTTTTAAATAATGGAATCCTTTCAAGAAATTTTATTATTTATGAATGTAATTGATTTGTTACAAAGAATTTTGATAAACTTTTTAAAAATAATTTTACTACATATTTCCAGGAAATTAAATTAAAATTGTATTGAAATTAATTGAATTTTTATAAATAATTTAATTCAACAATTTGGAAATAATTGAATTGTTTCAAAGAATTTTATAAAAAATAAAAAAAAATTGAATTTTACAAAAAATTTGTTTAACATTTAAAAAAAAATTGAATTTCTGCAAAGAATTTTATTAAAATTTGAAAAAATTATTTATTTTATACAAATTGGAGTGACAATAATTACATTCTTGCAATTAAAAATAATTGATTTCTTTCAAGAAATATTTTATTTAAAATGAATTAAAAATAATTGAATATTTCTAGAATAAATTTTACTAATTATGAAAATAATTCAATTTTTTGAAGGAATTGAATTATTTATGAAAATTATTGAAATTATTGCAAAGAATGAAAGAATATTATGATATAATTTTTAAAAGTAATTGAATTTCTACAAAGAACTTTGTTAAAATTTTTTTAAATAATGGAATCCTTTCAAGAAATTTTATTATTTATGAATGTAATTGATTTGTTACAAAGAATTTTGATAAACTTTTTAAAAATAATTTTACTACATATTTCCAGGAAATTAAATTAAAATTGTATTGAAATTAATTGAATTTTTATAAATAATTTAATTCAACAATTTGGAAATAATTGAATTGTTTCAAAGAATTTTATAAAAAATAAAAAAAAATTGAATTTTACAAAAAATTTGTTTAACATTTAAAAAAAAATTGAAATTCTGCAAAGAATTTTATTAACATTTGAAAAAATAATTGATTGCATTTAAGAAATTTTATTGAAATTGCAATTACAGTAATTGAAATCCTGCAAAAAATTGTATTATAATTTTTGAAAATAATTAAAGTGTTTCTATAAATATTAACAATTTAAAAAAAATTGAATTTCTGTGAAGTATATTTTATTAAAATATTTAAAATAATTGAATTTATTCGAGAAATTTTATTTAAAATGTAGTGAAAATAATTGAATTTCTGCTCAAACAGTTTCAGTAATATTATAAAAATAATTGAATTCTCTCAAGGAATTTTATTATTTATCAAAATAATTGAATTGTTACAAAGAATAATTGTTTTTAAATAATTGAACTATTTCTAGAAATGTCATTAAAAATGTATTAGAATTAATTAAATTTTAATAAAAAATGTTATCAAACTATTTGAAAATAAATGAACTATTTCAAAGAATTTCATGAAAATTTTTTTTAAAAAATTAATTTTTAACTAATTTTTAGTAGAATTTTACTACTTTTATTTAGTATCTTTCAATGTTTTACTGTAACTTTAGTGAAAAATTACTAGAAATCAGTGTAAATTTTTTAGGATAAATTTGTAGTAGTTTTAAAATTTAAGTTTTTTTAAAAATTCTTTTATGAAATTTTAATAAAAAAAATTACTAAAAATTAATAGAAATTTTTAAGCTCAGTTTTAAAGTTTAGTTTTAGTTTAGTTAAGACATTTTTAATTTTTCTTCTGATTAGTGAAAAATTACCAGAAATTAAAAGAAATTTATTTAGTAGAATTTTTCAGTTTGTTTAAATTTATTTACTGAAATTTTTAAGAAAAATTACTAGAAATTAGTATAAAAATTTTAATGTTGTTTTCAAGTTAAAGTAATTTTAAAATCTGTTACAAAAGTTTTACTGAAAAATTAGCATAAGAAATTATAAGAAACTTTTACTAATTTAAAATTAATGGTCTCTTTTCACTATTAATGATCCATATTCAAAGATGAGTAAAAATATTACAATCTTTTTTTTTATACGTGACGCAAATATTATTGCAAGAAAATTTGAATTTAAAAAAGAAAACTTCATTTGAACTTTCGAAGAACTTTAGTGAAAATTTTCTAATTTTACACTCGTTTTAAAGTCAAATTTTCTATTTTACCGTACAAAACAATAACCAAAGAGAAAACCCATTGCAAATTCCTGTTACCACTGACCTATTTCTTGAAAAAAATAAAATAAAAATAAAAACAAGTATTGTCTATACAAAAGGAAATTTTCTTCAATTTCGAATCGATTATTCAAGTGAAGAATGATAAATGGAGTTAAAAAAATGTAAAAAAATCGAAAGTGAAGTACACATAGTAAAAGAAATCCCACACAAGGAGCGCTATAGGTAACCTCTGTATGGGGTCTTTCTTTGAGGAGTGACGAATTATGTGATTTTAAACGGTGGTATTTTATAATACCGCGAGGTCGTCTATTCAAATCAAGAAAAAAAAATTTACCCCAGGTACCAACAGATTACTTACATTATTTATAACACAGTTGGAGACATCTCAATTTTCCAAAAGTGCTTTTTTTCAATATTAACCTTCGTATTTCAAATGATTTCAAAAAAAGGGTGTAAAGTTAATACGGAAAATCTATAATGATGACAATTTGATATTATAATAAAAGAATATGTAACGAACGAATTTTTAATAAAAATTTATTTTTCCTTTCTGGAACAAAAAAAAAAATAACAAAAACCTTCTATTATTTATTTCAAAAACGAGATGAGAAATATAAAATATAAAAAAGGGGATAATGAAAACAAAACAAAAGTTCAAAGTATGTGTGTGATAAACAATTTTTACCTTATAATTAGATTTTTAT